CCCCTGGCCAGGGGAACGGGCCTCGCGCGGCGGGGAGGCTGGGGGCTGCCTCGCCCGGCGCCCCTTCCCTTCCTGCGCGCAGACCCCCGCGCCCACGGGGGCCCCGTCCCCAGGCGCCCCGCCCCCGGCCCGCCCTCTTGCGGGAAGCAGGCGCAGCGCGCAGGCCGGGAGGCATCGGGTCCCGGGCGCAGGATGCCTTCGCCGCGCCCGGGACCCGCTCAGCCTTGGCCCGACGCCGCCCCCCTCGGCGGGACGCGCACCGCCGACCCGCCGGGGGGCTGCCATCCCGCGCTGCCTCGCGGGGATCGGGCGGGGAGGGGCCCGGACCACTCCAGGAAAGGCCCCCGCGCGGGGAGCGGCGCAGCCGAGGGGGGGGCCGGGCTGCGCCAGCAGCGGCCGTGGCGCCCCACGCCGACGCCTGGCGTCGACCGGTGGCGGGCCTCCACCGCGGGGGCCGGGCCCCTGCTTCACCACACGCCAGCCAGCCCCCCCCCCCCGGCCCTTCCTCCCTCTCTCTCGAGAGAGGCTCCGATCGAAGCAGTTTTTATGCGCGCGGTCCGCATGTCGTGCGCGTCAGTGCGCCCCCCGGCGGTTAGGTTGGAGGGAGCAGCGGCGGGGGGTGGGGGGCTGGAGCCCCCTCCTCCGTCGGACTGGGTTCTTTGGGCGGGTGAGAGATCTCTAACGTGTCCCCCATTTTATGAATGGGCAGGCCCCACAAAAACAGCTTTTTGGGAGAATGCCCAGGACACTTCCCAATTGTTTTAGATGCTATTTTAGGAAAAAAGGGAACCAGATGTGCAAGCCCATGCAAGTTTAGAAAGAAAAAAGGCTGGCAGCTGTACGATTATTTTTCTGTATTTTATTTTTGTATCTGCCAGCTGTTGGCCTTTTTTTCTGTATTTGCATAGGGTTGTCCAGGGCTTGTAAAATTTTACATGATGTACAGAAAGAAAAGACAGAGGTTTTACTTCCATTCTTAAAATCCGAGCTGGTCGCCCAGCTTTTGGCAACAGATTTGGGACAGTAAACGATGGCACCGGAGCCTTCCCACAGCTCCAACTGGCACGGGTGGACGCGGTGCTGAAGGGCGAAACGCACGTCAGAGGCGCAGGAAGAGTCTGGGCTGAGCCTCGGCGGCTGTCTGGCAGGAGATCCCCGAATCCCCAGCGGAGGGCAAGAAGGCAAGGCTGTGGCCTTCGTGTGCCCCGGAGGGGCGGCCAGGAAGCATCTGGCTGCACATGTGGGGAGAGGGGGCTGCCCAAATGGACCCCATCTGAACGAGCAAGGCTGCTTGCATCGGGCGAGTCCGAAACCTACCCGACTGCCGGACAGGGGGCCTGTGAGGGGGCCGAGGAACGAGCCACAGAGGAAGTGTTGCCCCCGGCACTGCAGACTGCCACCATGTGGGTTGCAGTCTGCATTTTCTTCTTGGAGACCCCGAGAGAGCTGCTCAGGAGAAGCACCTGGTGCAAGCCGAAAGTGACGCGCGGAATCCGCTGTCCCCTCGCTTGTCGACCACGCAGAGCCCCAGCCTCACCGCAAGCCTTCAGTCCCCTGCCCGGGGTGAAGAGCAGCGTGCCATTCCTCCCTGCCACTAGATCAGGTGCAGAGCGGAGCAACGCTTCCCCTGACACTCAGGGGGTGTCACTGCAGCGCTCCGAGGAAAGCGGTCCCCCAGCTGTGCCCAATGGCGACAGTGGCGGAGACTGTGGCGTGACTGCGGTTGGCAAACACACACCTCCCGGGTGGGAACCCCGGCAAGCCCTCCAGCCGCCTCGGCCCCTCGAGCAAACAGGGGCCTTTGTTCTTTGCTTTCTTGGGAGGCTAGAATACAGGATCTTGCCTGAAATTCCAACCCCCAACAATCCAACCGGCAGGAGGAAAGACCTGCGTTCATGTGAGTGGCGGCGTGAGGACATCTTCTGCTGCGGTGCAAGGACGGAAGTTTGATTTCCAAGGCAGGGAGATGTTTTCTGGGACAATGGCGATGGAATGATGGATTCACTACAATACAGCCAGAACCATACACTGGAGAAAAAGTACCTTGAGAGGCTTCGCTTCTACAAGAGCCTCATGGACCGGGGGCCCAGTCTGCAGCCCTCAGGAAAAAAATGCCGGCATGGCTTGAGTTTCTGGTGACTGGAGCACATCTCTTCTTTGCCCCGAGGCTTTTCTGCAGCTTGGCTTGGCACTGGCACTGCAGGGCCCTTCGGGGTGGACCAGGGTCTTTCCCCACCAAGAAGACGTGTCTCCGAGGGGACGTGTCTGGGGCAAGAGCATGTGGAGGACGAGGGCCCTCACCCAGCCAAGAGAGTGGGGCTGTGGAACGGGTCCGTGCCGTCCCATCCGGCAAATGGCGCTGCGGAAGGAGCGGAGCGCGACGTTAAGAGCAGGGAGAGACGCCGCGTCTGGTTCCCCCGTGTGGGACACAGTCCACTGGGAGTGCGCCTCCTTCGCCCCGGCAGGCGTGTGCCCCCTCGGCGTCTTGGGCAGCCTCGCTGCACCCCGCCTCCGCCTGGGCCCCCCGGCACCCAGCCACAGCGGCACGAGAAAAGCCCCGGTGGGTCCAGCTGGGCCCCCAACCCAGCCCTCTGCCAGAGGGCAGGTGAGCAAGAGGGCGGTCCCACCCACACACCCCAGAAGTGGGTGCTCGGGGGGCGCTGCTCCGATGGGAGACAAAAGCCAGGCCGAGGCATCGTGGAAGGCGGCCCTCTTGCCCCGCAGCTCGCCAGATCGCTCCCGTCACGTGCGCCGGTTGGTTCTTTCGTTTTAAGGGGCAGCTAAAGGGTTAAGGGTTCTGCTTCTGAGCATTCAGGAATATTCAAAGACATACAATATTTGATGATTGGAAGCCGTCCCGAGATGCTATGCACAAGGGACGACATACGAAAGTTTTAAATAAATAAATAAATAAATAAATAAATAAATAAATAAATAAATAAATAAATAAATAAATAAATAAATAAATAAATAAATAAATAAATAAATAAATATCCACCCGTGATCCCCACCAAGAGGCACACGCAGGCACGTGGTCTCTGGCACCGCGGGACGCATCTGGCTGCGAGCCCCGCTCCTCCTGTGCCTTTGAACTGGCTTGCGCTGCACTGGCCAATGGAGCGCCTGCTCGGCCCGGCCCGGCCCACCGCTCGGGAGCATCCCGAGGGATCCCCCCAGACGGCGTGAATGGGCGCTGAGCCCTCGGGGGCCTGGGTGGGAGGCTGTTCGTTCGGGGGTCCGCTTTATACTTCTGGCTTCCTCCGCCGGTTCCACCGGCACCCTCTCGGCTCCCTTTCCGTTGGCTCTCCGTAGCCGAGCCCGTGCCCAGATGGTCCCAAGACCACGGAGGGCTCCCGAGGCCACCCGGGGAGGCTGACCAGCCTGGCGCTCCTGCCTGCCTGCCTGCCTGCCTGCTGCTCCCCCGAGGGCCCCCGCAGCGCAACGGCGGCAGCAAAGCGTGAGCGCATCTGCAGGCGGAGGGCGCCCCGCACACGCACGACGGACGGGGCCAACATGAGGCGGCGGCTCTGTGGGCGTCACGGAAGGGCCTCCAGGGGACGGGCACGGCTTGGCTCGTGTGGGGAGGGTCTGCCGGCATCGGGAGGAGCTGCTCGCCTGAGCCCCCAAGCCGCCCCCTACCGCCCGGCAGCCGGCTCCGCTGGAGGGGTTTCTGGGGACTTGTGTCTCCAAGGCAGAGCAGGGTTTGCGTAGCCTTAAAAGGTGAGGAAGTAAGTCACACAAATTGCACAACTTGCACAAAGCTGCCAGGTTCACACGAGTTGACAAAACCCGAGCAAACCATGCATTCGTGCTTTGTGCGGGAACCCGTGGCAGTTTTGGCCGGATCGGTGCAACTCCCACCCAAGCGAGTCGCTTTCAGCTGCCCACTGGTGCAAATTGTGTGCTTTGCACAAACCTTCCCGGCCTTCTGGATTCTGGCTCCAAATCATGTAAATCCACCGGACATCCAGACGGACCTGGGCAGCTGCTGGGTGGGGTGGGGTGACGTGGCGCCCTGCGGCGGCGGCTGGACCTGGTGGCCGCCGTGGCCCCCCAACTCGGCTCTTCCGTGGTTCTGCCCCTGCGCCCAACTCAGATTCTTCGCCCACCCCTCCCTCGGGCAGCCTCTCGGTCCGGCCCCACTAGGCGGGCTCTCCACACCCAGCACCACCTGCCCTTTGACGGGGCGGCCCCCTTCCGGTCCCTCCTCGCTCAAAATACGTCCACCCTGAAAAGTCATTCGCAGGCCGAAGAGGCTGCAAAGTGTTCCGGGAAGACGCAACGCAGGACTTACGTGATTCCTCCCTGTGCTTCTCCCCCCTCCGTCTGTCGCACATGCATCACTGGACTCTTCTCTTCCTCATTTGCTGAGGGACGCAGCCAGCCGCGGGGACGCAGGAACAGGTAAATTCACAACATACAAGCATCACTCCTCCCTGCCACATCCCCTAATGAATGGCAGCCTTCTTGCTGCTCCTCGTGCCTCTGGGCATGTGAAGAGCCCCTTTCAAACCTCACTGAAAAGCCAAACCTGCCCTTCAGGTATCAGGGATTTAGACCTGGCTAAGGATGGACTTCGCCTGTCAGTCTGGGCTTGCTCCATTGCTCATTTTTGCCATCTTACATCTGGCTCTTCTCCAACTTTAAAAAAAAAAAGGCTTGCATGCAAATTCACTTGCATTTTAGGCCCATTTCTCTTAACACAGGCTTTCTTGGACACACATTTTTGTGAGCAGTTTTTCTAAAAGGGTGAGTTTTGGAACATTGTTTTTGTAATGTGTGCATTTTTGCAGCACTTTACATTCATTATTTCTGACTGCGGAACTCCACTGCAAAATGTGCAGGGGAAGCATGAATTTCGAACAAGAATTGACTCGCATCTCATGTCTTGGTCCCAAAAGCAAAGCTCGGAGGTGGTGCTCACAAGTTTGCACGGGGCATCCTCAAAGGGGCCAGGGAATCCAGACAAGTTTGCTTGTTTATTATGTTTTAAGCATTAGTCAGAATGGCTCTCTCATTGCAAGGAAATCTGGACTTTCTCTTCTAAACTGGGACAGTTGGAGCCCAGGACAAGTTCCCTGCCAGGCTTCTGCAGGGCTACACAAAACCTGCCTTCTCTGCTGGGCCCAGTCTGACCTCCTTACCTGCCTCCCGAGGCTTGGCTCTCCCGGCCGTGCTGCTCCCAGTGCCGTGACCTGCAGGAAGTTGGATGGAACAAGGCCCTTTCGTCCATTTATCTCCCCCTGTAGACAGTAATGCAGACGAAATGGCAGAAAGTGAAGAGGAACTAAAGAACTCCTTGATGCGGGTGAAAGAGGAGAGCACTAAAGTTGGCTTGAAATGCAGTGTTAAGAAAACTAAGATCATGTCATCTGGTCCTCTCACTTCCTGGCAAATAGATGGGGAAGAAATGGAGGTAGTGACAGATTTTCTTTTCCTGGGCTCCAAGATCGCCGCAGATGGGAACTGCAGCCAAGAAATTAAAAGACGCTTGCTCCTTGGGACGAAAGCTACGGCAAATCTAGACAGCCCCCGTCTCTCCACCCCTGGTAAGACGGGGTGCTTCAGCACTGCTCCAAAGTCAGCGCACAGCAACCCGGAGCTGCGCCCACGGTGGGGAAGGGTGTGGTGTGGCCCGTGCCAGCGCCCACGGCAGCCAACGGCAGCAAAACAGGACCACCCTATCCACCCCTGAGGGCCACGTGGGAGGCAGAAAGGTGCGAGGCAGGCGAGAGGGAGGGACGGTGGGCGGCCGCGTGCCCTGCCCACGCTCTCCTAGTGCTGCACAGACCCGTGGCCGCTCACCTCCGTGTCCGGGTCGGGAGAGCGCTCCCTGGGGCTGTAGTCGAGGATGGTCACCATGGTCCTCGGGGTGTCCTCGTCAGAGCTCAGATCCTGCCTGTCAGGCACTCCTGAAAGAGCAGAGAGACGTGTGCCCAGGCCAGGAAAGCAGAGCTCCCGTTTTCGGCATGGAGGCGGCAGGAGGCAAGAAACCAGGGGAACTGGGTGCGAAGCCTGGGGACACTCGGAGGCACTGGCCGGCCCCCCAGAGCTCTCTCGTCGCACGTCTGTCGGCGGGCTTTAAAGCAGGCTGCGGCCCGATTCTGGATGTGCTGGTCACATGGAGAAGGTTCCAGAGGGTGTGTGGGCCTTGCCCCCAAATTCTGGAAGTCTCCCTCAACCACCCTCCTCCAGCTTCTGAAACTGAGCAGGGTGTGGCTCACGTTCATCTGACTTCCCAAGAGGACTAGAAACTTGTTTTCCCCACCCCTTCAACCAAGAGCAGACAGTTCTCAGAAAGCTGAATTCCTGCACCAGTTAGTTGGGATAGACTGTGGCCCCAGAGACCTCCAAAATGGAATTTGGCCCTTAATATCCCTGTTACGGCCCCTAACTTCAGATGATGTCACAGTCCAGATTTTGCCGGGTCTCTGGGGCACAGCATGGTGGGGAAATTGAAGTGTGGCTTAATCTTCCCAGGCACGATTCAGAGCGGCCTTCCAAGGGATGGCTGAGAATGTCATTTCTGTCTGCTTTTGCAAAGAATTCCCCACAAACTGGAAGAGATTTGAGTGTGGGGGAAACTGAAGTGGGCAGATCCAGCCAATGCCATGTGCTGCGGTGGGCGCATGACGTGGGAATCACCGATCCAGTCCAGGGTGAAGGAGACGCAGCACTCACCGAACCCCGGGAATTCCCCCTCCAGCTGGTCTTGCGCCACTGCAGAGAGAAAACGGGCTGTGAGCGGAGTCTTTGTCAGAGCAAGCTCTCACAAGCAAAGAAGTCACTGCAGGGTGCCAGAATGCAGGCCCCACGGGAGGGAAAACACACGGGCCACGGAAGCAGTCTCAAAAGGGGATCCTCCGCTTAAGGGGGGCAGGGGAGGCGGCTGGGGGACCTCAGAAGACCAGGCGCTGGGGCAGAGAACCTCCTGTAGCCAAATTCCAGTTCAGAGAGGCTCCACCCTAGGGTGGGCCGCCCCCAAGCCAAAGGGGTAGGGGCACAATATCTTAAAGTAAGCATCTTCTATCTCGACGTAATTTCTACCAGTGACCAGCCCTTGGGAGAGGAATTTCAACCTTGGAATAGGGAAACGCACACACACAACCTGGGAAGCCACAGACGACTGGTGCTCTTGGGAAAGCGGACAGCGCTGTGGGAAGGGCACCCGGCATGGGAGGGAGGGAGGGAGGGATTTACATATATAAACGCTTTCCTAACCCACCCCCTACAAACATCTTGGGATGGCTTACAGTAAATGAGAAGAATAAAACAAACACCCCAGCATCCGACAATTAATATACTAAAACTCCAGTTAAAGTCAATTAAACATTAAAATAGTGGGAAAATTAAAAGGGTTTTGTCTGATGCTGAGAAGAATGTAATGCCGGCAGCAGGTGAACCTTTCTGGGGAGCGTATTCCACAGTCGGGGTGCCACCACAGAGAAGGCCCTCCTCCGGGGACTTTCCCTCCTGATCTCCTTCAAGGGGGGCTCCCAGAGCAGGGCCTCTCCCACTGATCTCAAGGGGCGGGGGGGGCACATAGGGAAGGAGATGCTCCTCAAGGTATCCCAGACCCAGGCCATTTAGGGCTTTATAGGTCATCACCAGCACCTTAAATTGGGCCCGGACTTCAATGGATAGCCAGTGCAACTGACAGAGGACCAGCGTTATATGTGAGTATCTGCCGGTCCCCATCAACATCCTGGCTGCTCTGTTCTGAACCAACTGAAGTATCCGGACCGTCTTCAAGGGCAGCCCCACGCAGAGCAGGTTGCAGTAATCCACCTGGGATCTGGGCTTCCACACTGCTGCCGTGCCAGCACCAACCTTTCTTAGACCGCCGAGGTTTTGGGGGGCGGCTTCCAGGGAGCCATGGAGGTGGAGGCGGAGGCGGAGAAAATGTGCCGTTGCCTTCAATGGAAAAGAGCCCCCCAGCCCAGGCCACAGATCAGCAAAGCCGCAGGATAGCAAGATCATAAAACAGAGGAGAGCGACGCTCGCGAGCGAATCGCCCGTCTATCTCATTTCATTTTCTGGATTCAGCTCCAGATACAGAGTCCTCCCACAGCCTCTGGAAGGCAACGCCCTTTGGCCAACTAGGACAGGCAGAGAAATGGTTTGGAGCAAATCTGAACTGGGAAGCGGACAAGGCCGAGCTGTTGGGTGGGACAGACCCGAACCCCTCGTGCCGCAAGTCCACACACAGGCTGTGCTCTGCAGGCGCAGGGGTGGCCAACCTGTCCAGGCCCAATGGCCGCGTTCCGCCGGGGCGCTCTTGTGGGGGGCATGTGCTATGGAACAGGGTCCCAAATCCCCGAAACATTCCTGCCTTTAGGAGGAATCTGTTGATTCTTAAAGGGGGCATTTTGACCTTTCGGGTGGAGAGGGAAAGACACAGGGGGAATCCACCAGCGGACGGGGCTGCTGGGCCTGGAGAGCCTGCCCGACGGGGGTCGTGAGCAAGTGAAGCGCCAGGTGGAGCACCTAACGTTTCTGCCAGCACGCGGGCAGGAAGGTGGCCTTCTTGCAAGAGCTGCTTTCTCACACCGTCACTGTCCACCTGGACCTCGGACACCATGTTGCAGGGGATGTAGCCCGTCCTCCCGCCATTCTCCCCCTGGTAGAAGCCGTCGGCATCCTTGCGGCCATAGACCTGAGAAGGGGATACAGGCGAGAGAGACGGTCACTCGCTGCACCATCAGCCGGCGCTGGAAGCAGGCTGGCTGCTGCACCCAGGGGAAATGTCCAGCCTGCCCGCATGCACGCCTCCCACCGCAGCACAGGCCGCACTCCAACAGGCTTTGCACCAGAGGGGGTGAAGCTTCATCCCCTCTGGACAGGGCTGTGTCCTGATTCCAAGCCTCCACTTCATGAGAACAGAAGAAAAGCCCCGCTGGGTCAGATCTGGCTTCCCGCAGATCACACAGATTCCACGGTGTCACAGACCATTTTGGTCCATGCAAATTTAATTGCAGGGAAATACATAAATTAGACCAAAGATGAGCATTTCCCCCGGAGTTTAAAGTTCACAGTATGCATTGGGCAGGTTGCATATATTGGGAGGTTTGGGGCTTTTGCAGTAGTGCCAATGGGCACAACATTGAGTTTGCACGTATTCCCATGAATGGATTTCCCCAAAATCCAATTCTGTCCGCGAGTGGACAATGGAACAGAAGGCACCCATCCGTGAATCAGACAGAGTGGATGGGACGCTGCCTGCCTGGCCAGTCCAAATTCCTTGGGCCAGTGTTCCTACAGCGCAGCAGCCTCGCTCTTTAGAGAGAGAGAGCACCACCCAGAGAGCTGGGGCTGCGGGGGCAGCACAGAAATGCGATCAATCAATCAATCAATCAATCGAAGCAAGCAGATGGTTGATCCTAATGGATACCATTGGCAGAAACAAGGAAAAATTGAATGCAACTCTCTCTGGTCTCAGCATGAGCTTTTTTAAACCCACTTCCAACTTTGTCCCCCCCCCCCCGGGGCCCCCCTTTTTGCAGTTGCATTCTAAATGCGCTGGAGTGCAATTCCCCTTTTCCTCAGCCCTGTTCGGAAGCTTGCTCCCCCTCAGAGACATTCTTTGCTGGCCTTTGCAGCAGAAACGCCCCACTGCAGCTTCCGTGATGGGAGCGGCACATCTCTTCTCGGCCTGCCCTCACCTTCAGAATCTGCCCCTCCCGGAAGGGCAGCTCCTCCTCAGCAGCATCAGCGTTGGGGGACATGGAGGCGGGGTCGTAGTCGAAGAGGGCCACGAAGAGCCGTGCGGGGCCCCGGCTGTCCCTCAGCTCAGGGGAAGGGCTCCTTCCAGCGCCTGCCCAAGACACGGGTCGGTGCCATTAGCTCAGGGGCCCTCAAGCCTTTTCAGCGGGGGCCAGTTGAAAGGTGCCGGTGCTAGCCATGGGCGGGCGGTGCACGCGGGCCGGTGAGGGGGCAGGGGCGGTGTGTGCGGGCACGTACGCTGAGGCGGGGTGCGTGGCGAGGCGAGGCGAGGCGGGCAGGCGTGTGGCGAAGGGAGGGGAGGCAGGTGCATGAGGCAGTGGTTTACTCGCTTGGAGATGGTTTTCTCCAAGCGAGCAAACCGCTGCCTCCCTGTGCGTGGAGCGAGGAGGGCGGCGGTGGGCACGGGCATGGGCGCGGTGGGTCCAAATGGGCCTGGCGGGCCGGCCCCGGCCCCCAGCCGTAGTTTGAAGACCCATGCGTTAGCCCAAAGCCCTGTCTGCCAGCTCGGAGGGCTGGCCCACATGCAGTGCCAGAACGTGGGGGCCTGAATGGGCCCTCGCTGCGAGGGCCGCTTCCCCTCCCTGCTGGGGGGTGGCCCCAGATTGACTGCAGGCAGAGGAGAATGTGGCAAGCTACTTCAAGTCTGATGTAAGAAAAAGCAGGATATTAGTCTAATAAATAAATAACTTCAGCTTTCCAGCCCTCCTCTCTCTAGCTGCAAAGATGTACTTAAAAACATGTGAGCAGTGTCTGCGGAAATTTCAGAAATGCACATTTTTTGCATGCCAGCTTCACTATACTCCTGGCTACTCTGCCGAACAATTGCTTGTTAGGCAAAAGCAAAGTAAATTAACACAGAACAGAAACGGCACAATAAGCTATGTACATTCAGGCTGTATGAAGTTCCTCCTTTTTCAGGAGAGAGACGCTGGCGCCACACCGCCTGCCAACACTCCTGAGCCGCTGCACCGCACTGAGCAAGCCCACCCCGAGGACCAGCTCCACAGCAATGGCGCAGACTTCTCACTCCTGACAGGAGTCCCGCGTGGCTGTCGCTTGCGAGCAGAGCGCGACGTGGCACGAACCTTGCCTCACTTGGATGTATTCTAAATATGGCCCTGCGTAGAAAGGCTTTGCTGCCCCGTCCTACAGGCGGGAGGACTAAAGCACGACTGGAGGGCCAGCACCGGAAACACCCCCCGGTGTGCAGGCCTCAGCGGAAAACAGGGCCAACTCACCTGAACTGCTGAGCGCCAAGGCAGCTCGCCGTTGCCTCTGGGGCCTTCTCCCGCTGTGGATTGGGCCCTGCCAGGGCGCACAGCCCAGTGGGTCAGGATTGCTGCTCCCGGCCACCTGGAAGAAACACTTGGCAGAATGAGCCACGAGCAGACGTCTGGTGCGCATCCTCCAAACCTCTGACGCAAGCAAGCCCATGGCAAGCACGCGAAAAGCAAAGCACCTGCTCCAGCCAGCAGGGAGGACACTTGGGAAGACTGCGGAGTGACTCCCGCACCCGTCACGCAGTCCTGCGATCTGGCAGGGCGACTGCAAGCTGAAAACCCCGCCCGGAGCGGCCCCAGGGCAGGGAGCCCTCCCCAGGCCGCTTGGGCCTCCGCATGGACATTGCGCACAGACCCTGCCTCGGCTTTATTTCCGAGGATTCCTTCCCAAAAAGACGTTTAACGGAGAGGCCGGCTGGCTGCAGAAGCGCTGCCCCTCAGCCCCTCTGCGCTGGGGTCCCAGAGCGCAGGCGGCACCCACCGCCCGCCCCTTCCCACCCGTCCTGGCAAGCGCCTCTTCTTGCCGTCCAGGCAGCTCCACTTCTAGGAAGCGGGGACGCTCTGAGCCCCTCGATTCCCCCCACCCCCCGCAGCCGTTGGCAAGGCCAACCCCAAGGCAGCCGGTCCGCAGGAGCGCCCGCAACGCTCGCTCCAGCGGTGCCCGCGGGCCCAAAGGGGCCGAGCGCGGGACGCGAGGCTCCCCGACGCCCGAGCTCCATCGCCAGGCCGCTCTCCCGCGGCGGGCTCTCCCGGCGGGCTCGCGGAGCAGAGGAACCGTGCGCAGGGGCCGCTTCCGAGGCGAGCAAGCCCCGCTCGGCGAGCGCGACGCGGCGAGCGCGACGCAGGCGGCGCGCCACGGACCCGTG